TGATCACTGTGTCACCACAAGGCATGTATTTTTTGTGATGGTACAATATCAAATATAACACAAGGGGATACAGGGGCATCTGCTTGTATCATATTCTACCTTCCAATCCATGATTAACAACAAAAGCTAAAGTATCCTATTTGGCAACATTTAAAGCTTCAATTTAATGAAAGATGATTACACTACAAGAAAAATTAACCCCCACCTCTCTCATATTTTCCTCTGGAAAAATGTTATTTGCCAGAAACTAAATAATCTTTTAGAAACCATGAAATAGTTCCAAAAGGGCATTCATTAAATTGTGGTCTCTGTGAAATAGATTTCTTATTTAACCTGACATAAGGCAAAGCATTATGTTTCATTAGAAATCTCTAAAACCACTCTGATCTTTTGGAGCTTTAAAAGCTAGTGAATTTCCTTTAATTTAATATTTCTCGAAACCTTTTGAATGTAATGTCTAAAAGATAATGAAAAGGTAAACACAGTGCTTTTTAATAACTTAGGTGATGTTAAGAAAAAGACTTTAAACTGTGCCTCTTATTATTTCCATCATCCAGAGAGAACATAAATAGAAAAAACTGAAGTTAAATAACAAACTAAAAACAAAATCAGCAGGTGGGTTTGAACCCAGGCCCCTCTACCTCAGTTTGTTTCAAAATCAATAATAATTCTTTGATGGCTATACCTAACTGACCCCCTAGTCTTTCTATAGTTAAAGAAAGTGAGTCTTATATCCTATATAATAAAAGCGTAATATGCAAATTGACCGAACAGCAGAACGACCAGTGGAACAACTGGTCACTATGATGCCCACTGACCACCAGGGGGCAGATGCTCAACGCAGGAGCTGCCCCAATCCTGCAGGCTCCAGGCCAGCCAAGGCAGGTGCCAGCAGGGCCCCTCCCCTCCCCCCATCACTCCGCCTGTCATCCAACAGATCGGCCCTGATCGCCGCCAGACCTAGGGACCCTACCCGTGCATGAATTTCATGCACCGGGCCTCTAGTAGTTTATATAATTTGGAAAATGTTGTTTGATTTTGTTTTCTCCTGAAGCTTAATTTAGACAAAAGTTACTTTGGGGAGAGAAGAGTCAAAGAATAACTAAAAAAAAGATTAAGAAATGTAAGGATATTTAGTCAGGTTTTCATTACATTAGTCTTTTAAAAGAACACTTCAAGTAAGTTGAATTTGACACTCAATAAAGACAGAAAACCCATAATTTTAATTCATTTTGGTTTTTTTTTACCCTTATTGATGAGATAATAATGACTTTTGTATAATTAACTGGTTTAGTAAACTAATACAATTATGGTATATAATCATAAAACAGTAATAGACTCTCTCTATCCTAACCCCCATTTCTTTCTGGATCATAAATTTGGTACTAACAACAAACAGGCTATAGTCATTAATACTTATCCAAATAACTGCCTCTGTTCAGTTTAAAGGAGGCAAAATTAGCATATATTCAGAAATAGTTAAATAAGTTAAATTTGAGGATATGTATTTTTGTTAACTGAAAAAATATTAAGCAAAAACCAATCTATGAAAGCATGGAAGTTAGCTGAAGTTTTCTTTGTACCTACTAGTAAGATGAAAAGCCTTATTCTGACTATGCATTTTTAAAAAAATATATATTTTATTGATTTTTTACAGAGAGGAGGGGAGAGGGATAGAGAGTTAGAAACATCAATGAGAGAGAAACATCTATCAGCTGCCTCTTGCACGCCCCCTACCGGGGATGTGCCCACAACCAAGGTACATGCCCTTGACTGGAATCGAACCTGGGACCCTTGAGTCCGCAGGCCGATGCTCTATCCGCTGAGCCAAACTGGTTAGGGCTATCTATGCATTTTGATCAATCACCCAGATGCCTGGTTTACATGAAGCCGAAGTTTAAAACATTGAAGAGCTTTCAAGTATTTGTTCATACATTTGCTTTGGAGCAGCATAATCAAACCCCTTTCAGGTAGTTTGAACACCTAGAGAGTCGCCCACCCTGAAGACTTCACATCTCTGTTGTAGGTCTTAATTAGTGATCTCATTAAAACCCCAATGAGTCAGGATCAGACCACCTGAGCCCTTCTGCAAAGGTATATGAAAGGAAAGGACAGATGGAAGTGGGTCACAAAAGCTACCGAGAAAAGGTATTATGTTTCCACAATTGGGCTTATTTTTTCCAGGAGGGATACTTGTAGAGACTGGTTCAAATACAAACATGGGGGGTATACAGCTTGTAAGAAAGTCTTTTAGTGATCTGGTAGCTCCATCTCCCACCAATTAACTTCATGTTGGAAAAGAAATGCTCTGGGTTTGACAGTTATATATGCCAGTTTCAGGTTTCAATCCAGGCAAGTATAGTGAAACTGATCTGGAGAGGCGCTATGTTAACTTCATATTATACTAACTTACTTACTTGTCATTTCCCACAAACTTTGGAGCAGTGGTTCTCAACCTTCTGGCCCTTTAAATACAGTTCCTCATGTTGTGACCCAACCATAAAATTATTTTTGTTGCTACTTCATAACTGTAATGTTGCTACTGTTATGAATAGTAATGTAAATATCTGATATGCAGGATGGTCTTAGGCGACCCCTGTGAAAGGGTCGTTCGACCGCCAAAGGGGTCCCGACCCACAGATAAAGAACCGCTGGTTTGGAGGCTTTCTGCTTTCAAGCCACAAAAATAAAGTATCAGGGGGGAAAATGTTTCAATTCAAGTTTATTCCAACCACTGAGACATCCAGAGGCAATCTGAGGTCTGCATATTTATTTATTATTATTATTTTTGTTATGTAATACTTTAAGTGCCTTATTAAGAGCCAGCACTGCCACCATGGAGGGCCAGTTAAAATCTCTTCCCTGCTACTCAGCTGCTGGGCATTTCCAGCTGCCCAGTTGGGGGACAGGGAGAGATGGGGAGAGGAGAAAATACAAGCACTCAGTTCTAAAGAGTGGTCCTTGGAATAAGTACACAGACAAGTCAGAGCCTATTAACTTCCAAAGTGACCACTGAAGCAAGATAGCAAGTGACCATAGCAGTAAAAGCAGGCCTTCTAACATACAGAAACCACCCTCTATTTGAGACCCAGATCCCCTGAACAACTCAAAAAACTAAGATGTTGCAGTGAAGGTCACAGAAACAAATAAAAGCAAAACAAGTAAGCAAATACACTTGATTGAGAAGTTGGGATTTTCTGATGTGCAGCTTCAGCATTCACTCTGAGATACAGCCTATCACTAAATAGAACTGATGCAAAACAGTGGTAAACCGAGCTTGATGACACAAGCCAGCATCAGTGTTACCAGGTTATACTCAAGAAAGGACATTTCCATTAAAAAAAAAAGATAGTTTTAAGCAAATTTAAAAGCAGGTAAGTATATCTCCTGTATGCTAATGCTATTTTGTACCCAGGAAGTGAAATTTTTGGCTGTAGCTGAAAATGTAATTTTAGAGCTCTAGATGTTAAATAATGGCTTATATAAAAGTACAAGAGGATGGTTACAAATATTATTTCTGACTTACTAGCGGTTTTGGGAAAAGATTATTTCAGAACTACAGACTTTCTTATAGGTAGCAAAGTAATTGCAGATAACTGTAGAAGTCACATTTAGGACACAAAGTGTCTAGTATAAATTTTCTCACCTTCTAGAAGAACTTTTAGTTCTTGATGTAACCTATGAAGCATGAGTTATTCTGAGAACATATCTCATTATATCACATGGGAAACTTTGTCAATACCTGAAATTCTAATAAAAGGCAAACCCTCTGATGGTGGGGGCTGGGAGTGTTGGGGAGGATTGAGCAAAAAAGAAAAAAAAAGAGAGAGCTCATGGACATGGACATGAATGTGGTGACTGCAGGGGGTAGGCGGGTGGGAGAGGGCACAGAGGTGATAAATGGTGATGGGAAAAATAAAATAAAATACATATTTAAAAAGTTGTTTAAAAAGCAAAATTAAATTTAGACACTGAAATTAGAAAATTAAACTTCAGCTAAGAAAGTCCCTGAACATTGCATGCCTTTCTGCTTCCCCATGATACTTAAAAACTAAACAGTGCCTGCCTATACATTTTATCGCTATTTTGTATAATGCTTTATTGTCTACCTGTATGAAGACTCAAAGGAAAGTATTTTTCCTTTCTAGTTTTTTTTCAGCTTAGTTAACAGCAAAGAAAAATTTAAAGTGGCATTTTCATGAGGTCCTTTTCTAAGAGAGTTGATAAACGGTAAATGGCCTGGCTATTAGGATGAAATCTGTAGTTGGAAAAGTACTCTATCCTAAAAACACTGAATTAAAAATCAATTGACATGATATCAGATAATATTATAATTCTGAGAGTGTTTGGGAACCACAACTCCATCTAGATCCTATGGAAGGATTAATGCTAATGCCCACAGTTAAGTTCCTAAAGGGATCAAAGGCTATTTCTATCACTTGGTTAATAAATATGCTTCTTAACACTGTCCTAAAAGTAATAAACAATTGCCTGATCTTACACTCTAACAGCTGAAGAGTAGTGAACAAAGAGAATTAGTTTAGAACATTATTTTAAAGTTAAATTCCAGTGATGCATGCTATTGCAATATATTCTACATTTAAGGCAGTGTGTGCGTATATGTGTGTGTGTGTGTGTGTGTGTGTGTATCAGCCATAGCTGACATAATTTCCATTCTATAAAATAAAATAAAATAAGCTACACTGTTTTTAGATCTAAGAAATAAAATTGAGCTCATAACTAAGACATATGTGACAGTAGGAATGAGAAGACATACAGAAAAAAGAACATGTATATGTAGGGTAGAGTTAAATGTTTTACCATTTTTTATTATCAAAGGGTAAATATTATATTTTAAATCATACAGTAGGTAGGATGTGAAGATGATGTTTAGACCATTTCTAAAACCCAATTTCTAATTTATTAAAAACAACACAAGAAAAGCAAGGATTCAAGAACCATTACACATATATCACAACTGCATTTCTCTGTTTTCTTACCCTGTATGTTGTACAGTCGGACACTATGGGTAACATGTTCAAAAAAGCAAGTTACATCCGAATAAAACCTTCCACGTTGTACTCTGACAAGGGGTTGGGTTGTGTAAACATAAGGCTGAAGAGAAAATGAGATTTTTAGAAAAATACTTTGGCTTTTAACTTTTCCAAAAAATGTTGATTATAGTTTCCAAAATGGAAAATTCGTATCACCTGATATTTGCAATTTTAAGTGAAAATCTTACAAAGTGTAATATGCATTTGCTATAAAATTAATTTGCATTATACAATAATTACTGAAAATAGAAAATAAAAATGTTACAACTTGATTGGTCTAAATTTACAAACATTCCTCCCAGCTATAAAATTTCTGATTAAAGTCCTTCTCTCAAAAAAAAAATAAAAAATAAAGTCCTTCTCTCTTGTCCATGTGTTACTTATTTAAAAAAGTGCTCGTTCTGCAGCAGTGACATTTTCCCAGGCAAACGTTTATTATAACCATGGCCCCCTAATGTTCCAGGGTCAGGCAGGTGGCAAGGATGACCACAGGGAGTCATCTAAACAAACAGGAAGCAGGATTCAGAAACACAGTTTAATCACAGTTAGGTTTACTACCCTATAAATACACTGCCCTTTTACTTGAAAGAGCTAGATGAATATAAAGCAAACTTATAAACTTGAAAAAGCCCCACTGATTTAGTTTTCATTACTTGAAATCTACATTCAAGAAAATATGGGACTAATACATAGAACTTATGTGAACAAATTTAAAGCATTCATAAAGAGTTATATTTTCTTAAGTATTACACACCCTAAGGTCAACAACAGTATAAGAAGCTAGGCTTGCAATGTGAACTACTTAAATAGCATAAGATTTTCAGAACTATGCAATTTTCTTTCAAATTTACCTCTTTGGCTAGAGAAAAATGTTCTGAAATTAATATGATGCTTTACCTAATGAACACATAGCTAGAAAGTAATGGAGGGGGCTGAAACCTGGGACGGTGATTTCTGGGCCCCTGCTTTTTTTTCTGATATATCCAACTGCCTCTTTCCCTGGTGTGCTTTTATTTTATCTTCTAACCATATGATAGTTCTCTTTATCTTTCTATCTAACATTAGAGTTATTTAAAAATAAAATAATTTTAAATAAATTAGTTGTTATGATCCATGCATAATATTTCATAGCACAAATATATGAATATACAGTGAATACACTTTGAGTAATTATTAATTCACTGGGTTAAATCTGAAAAGAAAGAAGCATCAACTGAGCTATCAAAAAATGTATGTGTATACATACTTATATATTTATTTTTTAAGTACAAGACAATCAAAGCAAAATGCCTATTCAATGACAAAAGCTGATGAGAAAACATGGGCCCACTGCACATCCTGAAATGCCTACTGTAAGCTGTACTTTACCTTTAATTCCTCACTAATTTAAAAAACTAAAAACAAACAAAAAAACTAGAATCCTTAGCATGACCCACACAATCCTTTAAAATCTATATTTGATTTCAGTTAGCAGACTTTTCTAAATTATAGAACAAAAGTAACTTTTTCAGGAGATAGGTTCCTAGGCAACAAAATATGAAGAATATTTAACTTATCTTGAAGTGGAGAAAGCAAGTGTAAGTATAAAAGCAAAGGAAGGAAATCTAAAAAAAATAATATGGAACTGACTACACAAAAATTAAAAAGTACCTTAATAGAAAAATAAAATAAAAATTAACCATTTAAATAACACATTGAGAAAATTGTGCAATATATATGAAAAAGGATTAATTTTATCATATATGAAGATCTGTAAGTTATACCAATAGAGAAATGACCAAAGAATTTAAGTAAAAACTCACAAAAGAAATATGAAAGGTAAATAAATGTATAAAAAAGTTTAACCTCACTAATAGTCATAAAAATGTTAACATTAAAATATTTTTCAGCTATTCTTATAGGTAAAGCTTTTAAAATGGCTAATTCTCAGTGCATGAAATGGTATAGAATTCAAAAGCTATTCTCAAAAAACACTGATGGGAGTGAGCATGCACTCTTTCCAGAGAGAAAAGTAGTATGTATCAAAGGCCTTACAAGGTCTCATCCACTAACACAAAAGGACTCTTCTGGAAAGTTATTCTCAGAAAATAATCAGCACTGCATAAAAATAATGTTACAGGGAAAGATTATCACAATGTTACAATAATGAAGTATTGGTGGAAAATGTACATATACAGCAATAGGATTTTTTTTTTTTTTTACATATGCACAGACACTTTTTCTTTTTTTGGGTGAGAACAATGAAGCTCTACTTTCAGCAAATTTCAATTATACAATATAGCTATCACCACGGTTTAAATCAGACCTTCAGACCTATTCATCTTATACTAAAACTTTAAAACACAACAGTGTACATTAAAATTGTGTTTTCGAAACCTATACCATCAGATTGTGAGCACTGTTACAATGAAAAATATGTAATGCAGTAAGACAAAACCTGAAGATGGTGGAAAAGGGGTATGTATAAAAGACAATTATACATCAAAATATTGGCATTGGTTTTCATGGGCTTTTATGAAATAGTTGATAAATTTTATTGTTTTCTGCATTTTAAAAATGTGTCAAAATTTGCATATACTACCTTTTCAGTGAAGGGTGGGGAAAAGGGTATTATTTTTTTTAAAGTACTAAAAGTTATGAAGAAATATGACCCAGTGGCCAAGCTATTTTTCTAGAATAACTCAGCTCACCAGCACTTACTTTGGCTTCCCCATCGGGCAAGAAGAGGTAGGCACCACTTTTGTCCTTTTTACTTGTGGTTCCATACCATGAAAATTGTACTTTTACCTTATGAGGTTCACCATCTTCTTTATTTATCATTTCCTAAAGAGAAAAAATTTAAAGGCAACTCAGTATTAAGATATTAATGATGTTGCATCTGGTTCCACGTATATGTCAATTTAGTAAGTTACCTCAGGATAGATTTAAAAATGCTAATAGTCTCTAATATTCACAATTCTTGGATGAACACTCAAAATGTTATACTTAACTTTAGAATTAAAAACCTTCACAATCGGAACAAAAAGTCAAAACACCCTTTTGTAAAGAAAGAGATACACAAATTAAAATACTGAGACCAGTACTTCTCCAATCTTCTGTAGTGGAGGAGCAGGCTTATTTTTTATTTCCAATATGCATGAACCAATATTTTTGTAAAGTACAATAAAAGTGAATTACTAGAAAATTAAATTTAAAGTAATATACTAACACATACTCAAATCTTTTATAGATTCAGTAGGCATAAATTGACTGTCAAATTGTTTTCAAATTTTTCTAGACATTTCTAAAGAGTCACTGCTTCTACACTTTTGTGGACCAGTTACAAATAGTTCACAAAGGAGCACCAGCCACAAACCATACTTGTGAGGAGCGAGTGGTCACGAAGACCACAAGAAGAAGGTTCACAAAGCTCATTCACCTTTTCTCTCAGAGTATTTGCAAAGACTGTTTCCCCTTTGCATAAGTAATCTCTACTCATTATAATAAAACTAGAGGCCTGGTGCATGAATTTGTGCATGGGTGGGGTCCCTTGGCCTGGCCAGAGATTGGGGCCGATTAGGGCCCGTCTTGCCCAGTACTGATTGATCAGGCCGATGGGGGCTGGCCGCAGGAGGTTGGCTGTGGGAGCGCACTGACCACCAGGGGGCAGCTCCTGTGTTGAGCATCTGCTCCCGGTGGTCAGTGAATGTCATAGCGATCAGTCGACCGGTCATAACGGTCGCTTAGTCTTTTATATATATAGATAAGCCTTTTATGTATTTTAGAACTATTCAGAACATACCTCCATAAGCCCAGATTGACCAAACTGAAGCTTAATAAAAGAGTTCTCCAGAGTTATTTCTTCAGCATTTTTCATATTCTTCACATTGAAAATGCCTTTATTTTCTATGTTACCATTATACAGGACATACTCAGCTACATGTGGATATGAACTCGATGATTCCAAAAGTGTATACACTTGCAGTCCCAATGGTGGCATCTGTGCTAGAAAAGAGATCTTTAAAAGATAGAAGAGGAAATGTATTAAAGAAAAATGTACTCTATTGAAAGAAAACACATTTATACTTGTGGTGAAAAGAACAAACTAATTCTATAAATATGTTTTGATAACTCAAGGGTAGAGTATCAACATCTCAGTTTATCCAGGTAACCTAATAACTTTAAATTAGAAGGACTATCAGACATTGTTTTCACTGAATAAATGAAATCATGTGACCATTCTCAACTGTCTTACAGTGCTCATCAATGTTCAGAGGGGGAAATTCCCCATAACAATAAGGGTTTACTACAAACAATGATTTTTTCCTAATTACTAGGATCTTTTTACAATACTATATTTCAGTAAATTAAACAGAAAAATGGGCAATGTAATAATATAAATATTAAGCACATTAGTTCAGTCAACACCAGCCACCCAATGCCTGGGATCTAGCAGATACTGAACAAGGTTTAGAGGATGCATATACTGTAAGACAAGACCTTCTAGGAACTACTGTTCTATTTTCTAGATGGGGTGTTTCCTGTAATATCTTACCAAAATTTGTATCATACTTTTCATTTCTACTTAAAGGATTCTGAGTTTATTAGAGCAGCTAGCAATGGCTTTTGACAAACGGAAGTAAATCTCTTTTAGAATTCCTCACTTACGGCTGTGTCTTCAGAAGTAATAGTTAAAACTGCACTCCAGACTCTAAAATTTCAACCTTACTAATGATGTTGGGGTTTAGTTTCATATTGCTTATTTTAAGAAATCCCCCTCCCTGTCTGTTACCTGGTCCAGATTTTCCCTAATTATATCTTGGAGAAGAATCATTTTAGAAAATAACTTTCATGATATATGTCTCTCCTTTGCAATAAAAAATTAAAAGTACCCAAAGTTATGCAGAAAGTTGGAGTTTATCTCAATTTTAATATGCATAATTATCATTAAATTGAGTTAGACAACAAAAAAATCCACATTCTGTAATGATTACTTCAGGAAAAAGTTACAATATACATGCTTACAAAGATATACAATATACATGCTAATATGAACTAACAGTAACATAGAATATACATACTAATAAATGTTCTAATATTTTGGGAAACACAGAATCTATTTTCCTTGTGTCATTTAACTGGCCAGTTAAACCCCCTGGTAAGTACAATTTTAACCACTTCACACACAATGACTGGACAGTTCTAGGAGTCATGTATACATATATAAACTAGCCATACCTTTTTAATGATGCCTCTAAGTTCTGTGGCAGAAACATACCTCATAGGCTGTTTGTGAAATAGTAGTGGCTGTATTCCAAACCGCACTCATCTGAATTTTCACAGGCTTCCCCGAAGCAGAGGACACTTTTACTGTGGGGGAACTCACACAGACTGAGACCAGTGAGGTTCGTTCTTGCTCTGAAGGATTATAGACCACAAGATACCTGCAAAAACAGCTGCTTCACTATTGTGGATTCAAAATACTTGCAGTTCTTTAATGCTATTTGTAAACTCTCAGCTCATAGATAGTCATAGAGTCAACATGTGGAGAAATTGCATAGAACATTTTGGTGAAACTTTTGGAGAACATGCAATTTCATCACAACAAATACTGCAAAATACAAAGGGTAATGAAACAATGGTTCACTTTCTCAGAATACAATGTTATACAAATAGAAGCCATTAATAGGATTGTAATAAAGTTATTTTCATGTCCCAGAAAAATTACTGATATACATATGATCTGTCTCAAAGAATTAGTTCTATACATCTAATATCTTGATCCCTGCCTAATCTAGCTGAATTAAAGAAATATATAAATTATTTGTAATTTAACCATAATTAATTTCAACTAAAATTCTGACATTCATTTTAGACCACTAAAACAGCAAAAAATGTATGACTATACGTGTGGAATCACATAATTCACACATATATTTTAAATACAAGGGGCCCTTATATCCAAGAGACTTAGTTCTGAAAAAGATATTTGAAATTAATCTACTTAAAATAGGGGATAAAATTTTATAATAAGTAGTGGCAAAATATTTGATTGGGACTTAGCTAGAGAAAGGAAAATAAAAACTATTAAATAATTTTAGGCAATATTTGCCACTAGTGTTATTTTTAGAATGAAAAAAAAATGAACTGAGTGGGGTTTTGGTCAGACTTTTTCCAACAGTTTTTATACTAGTACATTATGACATCCTTCCTATAACATTTGTTTTTACAGGATGGTCCTAAACATAGCTATATTTATTTTTTAAAAAGTCAAGGACTTCATCATTTTTCCTAAGTCCTCTCTCCATTCTTCGATATTTCAGTGATTCTCAGTTGAAGAACCAAACATCCTTAGTTTTCTCAGTAGCATGACTTGGCCAGATATTCAGTTTTATGGCTTTTCCTCTGAGTAGAAATGTTTTAGACCATCATATCACAGACTTCATGAATTCCGAAGCCTTTGCAAGATTTATGTTTTTAACTTTAACCAAATTTGTATCATATTATCTTTAATTAAATAAGAGGATATTGCAAAGACGATGTTTGACCAATACTACAACTCACTGATTCATTACTGATTATTTTCATGATCTGAAATATTGTTTTCCTATATAATCTTTTAATTGCAAGAACATAGAACTAAAATTAGATAGTACTGCTTTTCTCCCTGAGACTTAGCAGCTACAACAAAGGTGGTAGGATCAAGCTAGCATCATTTAGTCAGTGCATCAGAAAGCCTAGCAGTGGTCCTTTATCCTACATATGTGTCCTGTATATTTCAACTGTATTACAGACCATTCATTAAGAAATAAAATTAATACCTATAGTGGTCAAAACTAAAGTGAAGCACAACAGAAAAACACAAAGATAAAGGGGATGGAGCATAAAATCTGTAAAGTGTTTGACTTATAAAGTATTTGTCAAGAGAAGCATTTATGATTGAAATAATATTCTGAAATAATCGAGATTCCTTACACATATGAGAAGAGCAGTAGAAGCCATGCTGTTAAAACATATTTACAAAGACCATCGGAGCCTCCTAATACTAGATGATTCCTGTTTTATCCACAGAAGTAATTCTCAAAGAGAGCATACCTTGAAGGGTATGCTTAACTGACTTACCTAAGGGATCTATCAACCTTTTTGCACCCTCCCATTGCTTTGTACTAGAGCTAACATTGTACTTGGCTATTCTTCTATCATGAACACACTGGAAAATCACAATGGCCAAGATTCACTGTTACTAGCAGGATAGTACTCCGTTCCTAAGGTGCACTGGGGAAGAAAAAATAGCTGAGGATCACTCATCCTCAGCAACAAAGATGTTCAAATCAGCATCCTAGCAAGGAGTAATTTACTAGTTACTATTGAACTCCATGTTCCCAGACTCCAGCCAGTCTCCTAATTGTGCAGAAGCCCTGAGGCACACCCTGGTACTAAGCCTAGAATTCCCTGGCAAGTTCTTTGGATGCTCTACTACACAGAATTGGTCATAAAGATTCTGAAAATAAAATGTAACATGTGCTCAAGCAATAAATTAGGTAACAAGCATCCAGAACACTGATTCCTTCCCATGGGAAAAAAAGAAATGACTCACATTTAAAGCAAATAATAACTTTAACCATACATTTGGTTTTGTACAATATTAAATCATTTTTTATAATAAGCTGTGAGCTAGGTTCTGTTTTGTTTCATTTTAGTAGCTAATTAGTATTTGACCATAATGATGTTTCTACTGTACTGAATGATTATGTAATTATCATGCCAGAAATCTATTCAAAAGCTAAATGTGTAGAGTATATAATGAGCATAATGCTGCACTAAGAAAATAATTTTTTAACATAATTAGAGATTCACAGCATGTTTTTCAAGTGAATCACAGCACAAATTTATCTTTTACACACAAACTTCTATCTGTGTATATTTTAAGTATAGAAGAAACATGATTATATATGAATTAAATATAATTCATATATAAGTATATAAGATGGTGTACTTATTTGGAAATAAGTACACCATCATAAAACAATTAAATTTCACTGTCATTATTATGTTTGGGAACCAAACATTTGTTATACCACTAATATTCCAAAACCTGAGCCCTTTTAAGCCCTTTTGTTGTGAATAAAACCAACGGTTTTAATATCTTATAATATCATGCTCATTTACTGAAAATTAATGTTTGACCCACACTAACAAAAGAGTAATATCTATACCCTGAAAATGATAATTTTTTATTGTCGGTATTACAGCTGTCCCCCATATTTTTCCTCCTTTCCCCCACAAACCCTGCACCACCCCAGGCCTTCCCCACACTATTGTCTGTGTCCATGGCTTATGCATATATCATCTTAGGTTACGTTCTCCTCCCATACACTGAGATCTGTTATCTGTTCCATGCATTCATGCTTCAAAGTAATGAGAATAATTTCTATTTTACCTTGGAAATAACTGTATAGGAAGCTCAGAACTCTTCCCCCAAATCCTCCCATATTTGCATTAGCTTCCTACTTCTCATCTGTCACCAAGTCACGTCCAAACTCCTAGTTCTCATTATGACACTAAGCCCCAACCACTTTGGGTTACCAGCAATTATCTCAATTCTCTATATCAAAGAACAACTCTTACCACATGAAGACAAAGCACTCATACGTTACCTGTCCATAGAATTAGAGGGCAGAAAATGATCTACTTTTAATTAGGAAAAAAGGAATGGAGAAAAATAAAAGGCCATCTATATGCTCATGTCAAGCTGGGAATCACTTTATGAAAGAAGTAGAAAGAATTCCACTGTTCACATGGTTCTATCCTTGAAGATTCTATCAAGATGTTTATATTCAGAATTCCCTCATTTGTAGAAATAATTCACGTCATGTTAAGAAAGACAACTGTGGCCCTGGCTGGTGTGTTTCAGTTGGTTGAACATCGTCCCATGTACCAAGGGGTCACAGGTTCAATTCCTGGTCAGGGCACATGTCCCAGTGGGGGCATGCAGGAGGCAGCAGATGGATGTTTCTCTCTCTCTCCCCCTCTCTTTTCCTCTCTCTCTAAAAACCAATAAAACATATTTAAAAAGTAAATAAAAAATTAAGAATAGTAACCTTTGTATAGTATTTTGATATGGATATATATTTGGAGTTATATGTTTACAAAAATTGCAATTTCTAAATTTGAAGTCCTTTTAATACAGCCCACCTATTTTTCTAGGTTTAAAACATAATCCTTACCATATTAGCCATTGGGGTGGGGGGGGAGATCAAAATATGAAAACAAAGGGGTCTCTTTGAGATGTATTAGATCTTCAACAATCACACTCAGTTCTGTGACTCTTAGACTCTGAAGTCAGACATATTCAAACTCAAAACCCCAGTATGGCACTTAGAATTTGAGAGGCTTTGGACAAGTTATTTTATTTCTCCAAACCTAATATCTTCACAATCAGGAGACAAGATTATTGTTATGATTAAATGATCAAATATTTGGAAAAATCACATAGCCCAGCCTTGGCACTAAGTAGAATCTCAATAGCAATTAATTTCTCTCCTTTCCTTTAAAAAAACCTCCTGGCATCCTCACCAGGGACCATAGTACATGAATCATACTGGATAGTGGAGTGAATGTTTTAATCAACCTACATCATTGAATTGACTTAAATGTGTTTTTGTGTGTGTGTAAGAGATATATAAATCTAAATGAAAGATATTAACAAAACCACACGTGATAACACAGATACCTTGAAACAACAGGAGTGGTGGTGAGAGGGTAGAAGCACAGGTGCACAGAATCTCACACAATGCCTATCAAAATCCCATTAAGCCCTGGCCGAGTGGTTCAGTTAGTTGGAGCATTGTCCCGTGCACCAACGGTAGGCAACCAATTGATGTTTCTCTCTCATCTCTCTCTCTCTCTCTTTCCCTCTCTAAAAATCAATAAACATATCCTTGGGTGAGGATTAAAAAAAAAATCCCATTGAAATCCTTTTGTTGGGAGAAAGGTGAGAAAAGGATTGGGTCATTAATGAAGAAAAAAATCGGTATATATAAAAGCCTAAACGTCCGGCTGACCAGCGACCAGCCAACTGACCAGTAGCTATGACGCGCAATGACCACCAGGGGGCAGATGCTCCACGCAGGAGCTGCTGAGCGACAGCAACTATGCAGAGTGCCCTCTTGCACTCTGGGACCCCTTGGGGGATGTTGGACTCCTGGTTTCAGCCCAATCCCCGCAGGCCAGACTGAGGGGCCCACATGCCAGAGGGCGCCCCCTCTCCCCCGCTCACTCTGCAGACGCACTTTGAGCCCCGGCACCACCCCAAGTGCAGCCAGCCAGGGAGGGACCGGGAGAGGTTGGCTCCAGGGCATGTCCGGCCCATCTCACCCAATCCCACCCCACCGGCCACCTTCTAATTAATTTCCTTTCAATGTGCATGAATCCATGCACCGGG